GGATTGTCATATCGGATAGGTTGATATAATATCATAAATAAAATCTTCACATATTTGATAATTATATTATCTAAACATATGAACAAAGGAGCAAGCATCATAACATCACTATCTTTGCCTCTAATCCAATGTTTCCAAAGCTTAATTTGCTCTAAAACTTTCTTATAAACGCAAATCTCAGTGTAAAAAAGAACAACAATAGATAATCTCAGTGCAAAAAAAAGAAGGGAAAACAAATAGATAATCTCAGTGCAAAAAAAAGGGAAAACAATAGATAATCAGTGAAAAAACAGTAGATAATGATCGGCGGCAAAAAGAACAACAATAGATAATCTCAGTGTAAAAAAAGAAGGGAAAACAAATTATTTTAAAAAAAAGAAGAAAACAAGAAAAAAAACTAAAAAATACCTGAGTTTGAGGAGTCGGTCGGCGGCGGATTCGGAGGCGAAGGAGTCGGCGTCGTCGGCGTCGTCTGTCGGCTTTGAGTTTGAGGAGAGGAGCAAGGAGAGGAGAAGCAGCAGCCAGCAGCCGACTTTGGGGAAAAAACCCTAAAAAACGTTTAATGAGCTTATTGGGTCGGGTCGGGTTTTTCAAACCTGACCCAATAAGCTTAAAACCGATTTTTATAAAATATGGTCGATTTTTCTAGGCCGAAATGACGCCCGATATATCCGATATTTTCCGACATGTCCCCGATATGACCCCAGAAACGCAATACGCATTAAAATCAAGGATATCGTGACGGTTAGGGTATCAAACCGCTATGTCCGTCATGGCGGCCGTCATTTAAAATACTGGGTATGAATTATACATAGCTGGTTGTGGTCTACAGTGGCGCCAAACTAAGATAACTCAATTAATAAATGACTCAAGTTGATATACAGGTTCTTAGCCCAATTAACCTAATAACTACTTGAATAGTAAATAAATTTATATTTTATACTTGGTTTAACGAATGGTGTATCATGTATGATGCAAATAGTGCACATATTTGAGTTATCGTTACGTGTTCTATTTCATAGAAAAGGTATCGTTCATATCCAAAATTAGAAACTTGAATCATATTCGTATTGGTAATGGTTTTCTGCTTTGACACAACAAACATTTTATCCAAGTCAAATTTGGGCATTCGAACATTGAGGGTTTAGATTCTTGTGTATGCCATTAGCATGTTTATTAATGATCAGAGGGGTTTTGAGTATCTACTTTTGATCTATTTATTAACTGGTAGACATTGTTTGCACTACAATGTCACATAGTTACGTTAAAACCGACTTTACCCAACCCAACCAGTCATGCTTGTGACTCCTATTTATAACAGGTCAGTGAAGTTCTTCTTGGTTGCACTTCCCCCTCTCAATGTCTTTCGAAATAGGTTTTGTGGGGATTGCAAAAAGGGTTTGGGAAAAGTGTGACATGCATGCAAAAAAGTAATCGATTTAATACACGTTAGAAAACACTACAATAATGCATTTCATGACATACATTACAATTGACATATCACAACTTTGCAAACGTTGAGCATTTCTTAACATAACGTCTACATTTCATCTTGAAATGCATAAAACATTTTCAGAAATTGTTTCCCCCCCTTTTTTGGGCAAAAAAAATTATTTTTTGGGGAGGGGGAATGAGAAGGAGCAAGAGGTGAGAGGTGAACCTACATGGTCAACCTACTGTTGACATTGGCTGGTGTCACTATTCTTACTCCCACCTCCTTTGCGTTTGTCTTATATTTAAGGTTCAAGAGAAGTATAAGAGGCTTTCTGATTAGTGGTTATTGCACTTTTATTGGAGGAAATTTGGTCACATGACGAGTAAGAAACAAACATTTGTTACCCTTTCTAGTGCCGAAGTTGAGTACGTAGCTGTGACTCATGCCTTTTGTGAGATGACGTGGGTTAGCTCACTAGGGGATGAGTATTGTTTTCTCGATGTCCATGACGCTCCATTGTGATAATCAAGAAGCTATCTACATTGCAAGCAATCCATTGTTTCATGAGCGAGCAAGACATATTGAGATGCAATGTCATTTCATCCGTGATATGGTGTTATCTGAGCAGATTGTTACTCCACATGTTTGATTGACCGATCAGATTGCTATCATACTTACAAAAGCTTTGTCATGAAAACATTGGTTGATGCACTTTGTATGGGCATGATTGACATCTATACACTAGTTTGAGAGGGAGTTCTAAAGTAGTAGAGTATTTAATCTCACATTAGGTACACTTGTAATCTTGAACTATTTCCCTATCTATATAATAAAGAGGACTGACCCACAATGGGATTCAGTCATTATTCCTCTCATAACAGAATTCATATGAGTTAATGCCTTTAATAATTAGATCCGAAGTTAGTTTTTTTTAATATATATTCATTGCAATATTTGTATCTAATTAGGATAAGTGTAGGTTCCACCAACTTAATTTGCACATGCTCTCATACTCTTGCTCTTCGTGGTGCCATGGTTAACTCCTAAAAGTTATAAACTAAGCACCATTTTATATGTTATGGACAGTAGGAAGGGGTGGGCAGAAGGATGGAGGATGAGAGAGGGAGTTTGAAGGGCTGGAGTGGTCAGATGACATTAGTGCATAGCCAGGAATTTCAACTAAGGGGTCCAAAAGAATTAATAATTAAACACAATGTTTTAAAAAGCCTCCGTCTAGCCCTTCTAGGCATATGCCTAGGCCTACGCGATACCTTAGTCGCCTACCTAGCACCTAGCGCCTAGGCAGTACCTAATCTGCTTACCTACATTTTGGGAGTGTTTAGGGGAGCATGGTCTGTCTATATGGACCGCACCCTTCAGGCATTGATCATGATTTCCTCAATTGCAGTCTCCACGTCCTCCAACCTCCTCCAAACTAACTATAAACACCCCTTCTATCTCTCGCAACCTTCAGCAAACCTTCACCACCACTTAGGAAATCTGTCTAGGTGTCAGTCCAACGTCTAAACTTTCTATAACATCAACATTTACTATCAGTAATTGCAATTAAACTAAAAAAATAGGAAAACGCCTAGTCCTCGCCTAAGACTTTCGCCTAGGCGCCTAGGCTCTAGGCATTGGGTCCAATGGCTAGCTTGCCTATCACTTTCTGTAACCTTGATTAAACGTGATAATGTATAAATTTAGTTGCCGATTGATTAGTATCTAAATATCATTACATAACAAGCCTTCCAAAACAAAATTCAAGTTAGAATATAGTGTTTACAATTTCTTCTTGCCATCATTTCTTGAAACCGTTTCATAAAATTTTCTCATCAAGGCTACAAATATTTTAATGAAGGCACCAAACAATAATTCACATACATGTCTCTCTCATTCGGTTTTGAAGGTCATACTGAATAATTTTGATTATCAAAAATTTCCTTTCAATACTTGTCATTGCAATGACCATACTTAGTGCCAATTTCACCAACTTGTAAATTGAAAGATAAAAATGTTCATCTTTCATTCAACCAAATTCTTAGCAATTTTACTGATCTCTTGAATTGAAAAAACGTGAGCACTACAAATGTAATTCTCAAATTGATTGCAAAAATTCATACAATCTATTTCAGGTAATCTTAGTATAAAATTCAGCAATTAGAATCAATTTTCCCTCTTCAAACAAAGAAAATTAATTACTTGCGTCAATACATGTCATACAAGAAAGCAACTTTATATTACGATTATCTAAATGATTTTTTCAATTCTCAAAATAAAACCTATAGATGTATTAAACAATTCAACTTTATATTGATAAAGTCTAAAAATAGATGTTCTTACATTTAACTTCATATAATTATTAAATATCAACTACACTATTACTCTGTATATTTTTTCATTTGCCTAAGGGATCCATGGTCTCTTTGGCACCTTAGTAGCCCTGCCATTGGCTGAAGTGGGTATGAGTGTTAAGGTGGAGGGTGGGTGGATGGAGAGGAGAGTGCGGGTGAGGGGACTTTGTAGAGCGGAAGGGGTTGGCTGAAGTCGGGGTTAGTGTTGGATGTTTGTGAGGGTGGGGAGGGAATCATTATAGGGCAATGGGAGGTGAGATATTATCATCACCAGCCCCAAGATTTTTAGGTAAGTATGTTAATTACTTAATTAGAGTTATTAATTTATAAAATAATTAAGTTAGCTTAGTTAAGTATAGGAAAATTGTTCCAAATTTATTTGTCGACAGTTAGAGTGAGAGATAAAATTGAGGTCTGATTGCAATTTAGGGGGTAAAAATAGCAATTATGATGACTTAATGGGTAACCATATAAACACATTTGATATGGGGGTATATATAAAAAGAACATAAAAAGGCATAATTATAACTTATAAATTATTAATAGTTTATAGAACAATTACTGAATATAACAAAATCCACCCATTGATTTCTTAACAGTTAACATGAGAGGTAAGAGGGTTGCCCACGACTTTTTTTGGGGGTCGGTTTTTTTTTTTTTTTGGTGGGGGGGGGGGCGGTTAAGCAGACTAGCGGTTATGATTTGGAGGGTAATCTGAAAAGTACATTTGATATGGGATTTGGATCATTTCCACTACAAAAAAAAGCAGAGAGACCACTACCTAATCACAATCATTGATTATCTAGTGGGTAGCTATGATTTTTTCTTTGACTGCAAATTAGGAATGAGTGCAATACACAGGGTACGATGAGTGTTAGATTTAGAATGTATCACAACCCCACACTAGATAAGTAATGGTTGAGATTAAATGTAGTGGTCCCTCCACTACTTTCCAAATTGTTAGATATGGGAGTATATATGGAAAAAATTCCAAGAATATATTGGAGCTCGAAAGTTTGTTCTAAAAGCTTGTAAGTTAATGAAAAGGGGAACATTCACAAGTCATTGAACTTAAAAATGAGTTTGACATTGATGTAGCTCTGATTTTTCGATAAGCATGGGTCAGTGTTCGATGGATACTTTAGCTTGTGTTTATCAATTCTGTCATTAGGATATTGTTCCGACTCTAACTGATGTTATGCTTTGAAAAGGGTATGAATATTACTTTGTCCGAGGATGAGCATTGCTTCGGGCGATGCGTAGAGGATCCATGTTACCGGATAGATACAATTTCTGCCAGTTCAAAGCACTGCACAATTTTTCGAGCGAGGGCAACAGAAGATGGAGAGCCGGATTCCAATATCTCTGTGCCAGTTTTCATAAAAGATACAAGGTTGTAGATTTGTACATACTGAGAGAGATTTGCATAGCTCATCAATTATTTTATTTTTTGTCTACGTCGTTTTTTGATATTCTCTAGCTTTACAGCACCAATGGAACGTATCTGAATTGGACAAAGCTAGAACGTTCTGCAAAAACTAGACTTCAGCATGGAGATATCATATCATTTATTCATCCTCCTCATGCTGGTAAAGTACAAGCAGATTTCTCACTGAGAAGCTTATGTATTTTGTCAGCTTTTTCAATAGATAAAATGACTGTTAGAATTTTCTCACTTGAAATAGAAGTGTAGAACAGGTGTATTTGTTTTATATTTTTGGGTCCTTGTGCTTGGTTTGACTACTAATATTGGACAGCTTAGATTTCATACATTATTTTGTTTCTTGATGGAACAGATCCTTTCTTTCATTTTGTTCTATACTGAAAATAAAAATGAGTTCTAGCCTCGACTATTAGTTTGCGGAATGTTTACTTGAATTTGTATTTACATTATTACTTACAATCATCAGTCTGTTTTGTTTTTTGATTTCATTTGTGATATTACTTGCCGCCCATTTCATATGGTGCTTTGTCAATTTAATTCTTTGTCACATCTCCTTCTCATTGAAAGTTAAACATTTTCTAACCTTTGGGCTGAACGTAGTTAACTGTTTGGTGCTAATATCATAATTTTGTCAATATCATGTACTGGCTTTTGCTGATAAACAGTTTATAATCCTGTATTATGCTATGTTATAGGTCTGTAAATTAATGTGATACTAACCTTATAAATAGCCTTACACTTGTTCATTTTGTTAGTTGACATGCAAATGTTTCATAATGTATTGTCTCAATTGTTCTATTTCAGGATCCTTTAATGAGTTGCAAAGCCATTTTCCTTTTCTGTTTATTAACTCTTGTATATCCTTGAAGTTACTAATGTACTTTGTAATCTTTTCACACTTGTCTTTCCCTTTTTGTGTATTATTGTGTAATCTTTCTTTTCCTCTTCATTTGCAGCTAGTGCTTATGCATTTGTGTATCGAGAAGTGAGTAAATCCACAGGTCTAACGAACGGTACAGGTCTGAAGAGAAAGTCAGGTAATGAATCAATTTTCAAGAAAATGCACTATACTATATACTTTTTGGTTCAATTTTTGCTGCAAGCTGTTTTGAACTGTAAATGGCGATTCAGTAGAAACTATATGTTATGAAGTGTGAATAATCAGTCTGATAATAGAATTTTTATTGTGCATTGGACTGCATTAAGAAATTGGAAGTAGATACTGTTTGTTCTGACTGTTAACAATAAATAGGCCATCTGAACACTGCTTTTCAGTTTAGCGGCTTATGTTCCGTTTTCACTTGCCTCCTTTGCCAAGTGGTTTACATGCCTCTGAAGCAGTAATCTAGGTGTCCATCTGTGGTGTTTCCACCTGGATACACTGTCTAGGCCGTAGACGAAGCACCTACTGATTGTGGCCCTTTTAGAACCATTACACGACTATTTCACTCGTCCTACTACATAAACTGTTTAAAATGGGGTTCATTATGTTTTGCCGTGTCTGTTGCGGATGGAACATAGAATTTATTGTTAATAAATGATTAATATAGTTTGTGCTACATCGTTGACACTGTGTTTGCAACAAGAGATTGAATAGAAGTCATGTTCACAAGGCAGATGTTGTCACTGTAATTCACACAAGCAAGGTCTATCACTGTGTTTATCTTCAGTGATTTGGAAGTTTCTACATGGACTAAATGTGTCATTAGAACCCAGGGGTAGTAAACAATAGAAATTTAAGTGTTAATTTGTTTCTATAATATACTTTGATCTGTAGAGCTGAAACAAGAATACTATATAGTTTTTTAAATGGAAATTAGCTAAATTACAGTAGATTGCTCTAAGCTTTTAGCTCTCAGTTAAGTACTGACTTGCTTTATTATTAGGAACTTCCATGAATTTTAATTTCAATTGGTAAGTACTATACGATGTTAATGGCTTAGTGAAGCTACAAATTAACTTTGCATTAATTTAACTTGTTATACACACACATGTAATTTTTTTTATTTTTTATTTTTTTAGAAAAAGAGAACCTACGAAGGGCAATGTTTGCTTTTTGCAAAACATTCACACCTTTTCCTCAAACCCTTCTTCCTTTAAACCTTCAATCTCCACATAACGAAATCCAGACCCATAAAATATCATCAAAAAGAAATTTCCCCCTTTTTCTTCAATTAAACCCAAATCCACAACTTCATCCTGAGAAAGAAATCACCATGACTTTCTCTTCATTCAACCCAGACTCACAGTTTCTGATGCAATTTAACTACTCTTTTATAGACAGGGAAATGGAGCGTCCCCAACTGACAAATTCAGCAGGGATGACAGGTCCCTTGCCAAGGGTTTTCAACAAGTTCCCTTGTGAATAACCTGTTCACTAAGGTAAACAACATTGAGGAAATTTCCCCTGTTCTCTAAGGTAAACAACATTGAGGAAATCTCCCCTTTGGAATGTTTATCGGGGAAATTTGTCTGTGCATCTTCAATGTAGACCCTACGGAAACTTTACAGAGGTTCACAACACTCCTAGGAAATTTCCCTTGGTAAAGTTTATTATCTAACATCACCAAGGGAAGCTCCTCTGGGATATTCTCATAAAGTGACATGAACCAGAAAAAACAACATAAAAACACAACCATATGTCCAAAACATAGATGTGTTTGGTATATGCAAATATATTGATCTGAATGCATATATAAACATAAGTTCAACAGAATCTAGTTTCTACAGAAATTTCTGTACGTCATACTGCAGAAATATATTTTTAGATCTGGAGTACCGGCTATTATCGATTCCTTTTAGCTGCATCATGCGCACACATGCACACATATGGTAATTAGATGCAAGGGCATTAAACTAAGTCATAAATTGAGTCACTGTTCATTTCATTTCTCCCTCTTATATAATATAAAATATTACCCAAAGGGGTAATGGAATGTTAGTCTGAGGCTCAAAAGGTTGTTGGTTTGTATACCCACTCGGAATTGAAGATTAGGCAGGTGCCCAAGGTCAGTATAGTTTAAGCATTTGATTATCTGGTGTCATATAATCTTGAAGCAGATGACCATTCTAACCTCAATTACCGCTTTGATAAGCTCTGTAACTGTAAGTGTAATTGTAACAGCCAACAAATATCAAACTTTTTCTAACTTTTGAGGTCAGCCATAATGTCATCACTATGATCAATGAGTTTCATTGTTTGAGATTTTCTCATCGATCTATCCAATCCCAGTGTGCCTCTTACCATTTACTGGCTTAACATTATTATTTGATTTTCCATACATGTTTAGATTGGTCTAGCTTCTACTATAATGTTGTGATGAAAAGGGCTGTAGTGGTTCTTTTTGGCACGTGCACAATTTACTCATGCACACAGCCCCACTCGTGCTCTCAGTTTCAGTTGCATCGCGCACCTGCTTGCTTTTTTATTTCATCACCAAGGTTCATGTTAGTAGTCATACTGACTTATCCATCATCCATTTATTTCCAGATAATTTTGTGGGGGAAAGCAAGAGGCATAAAGGTATTGGCATCGGTGCACCTGAGGGCCCAATTTCACTTGATGATGTTCGAAGCCTTCAACGATCAAACACGGTAACTCTGGACATACTTTGATTTTTTAAATGATAATACACTTAACATGTATATGTAGATACATGTATAAAATCTTCCTTTTCCCACATATATACAGACAGTTGCATATGTATGTGTGAGTTATATATATCTATGTATGCATGTGGATGTTCGACTATTTTGTTTGCTTCTGTGTAGGGTATGCTGTTTTCAGAAGTTGTTGGCGGGACATTTTGGGGTTTTTTTTTTTTTATGGGGGGGGGCGGGGGGGGAGTGGGGGTGGGTGGGGTGGGGGGGGGGGTTTAAACAGATCCCAGTTCACTACAAAGAAGTTCAAAGTCTATGGATGTGATCTAGAAGCCAAGAATTTTAACCTTTCTTTAGGTTATTTTATGTGTTTGAATCTTTCTTTGGGTTACAAATGATTTTCCCATGGTACTTTGTAGTTGATCCTATTTACAGTACTTGGATTTTTGTCTATATAGTTAAATGTTTCATTCTACTTGTGGTATGTCAACTTGGATGGACCATGATGTTGTCTGTTGGGAAAATATTTGCATATAATTTTGATAACAATAGGCATAGTGATCCAACTGTGGTTCATAGCAATATGTGACCATACCATTCATCACGATCTACTCCGTAAATTATTTAGATAAACTTGGTATGTATGGACTTTAATTTGAATTTTCATAACTTTAATTTGAGTGGCCATCACCTAATTAGTTTTTTTTTGTTAATTTCAATACATTGGATATTGCAGGAACTTAGACAGCAATTAGAATCTCATGTGCACACAATCGAGACTATGCGCAATGAAAACCGGGCTACTGTTACTCGGCATGAAAATGTATGTATATTTGTATTCTGTCTTGTTTTGTTGTTCTTCTCATGATTTCAAGTTTTCAACCTTCTTACATGGTTTCAACTTACGTATCTATTCCTTTATTCTTGGTTTAGTACATTCAAACTGCCCAAAAACCAACGTGAACGATTAAGTTGTTCAGATGTCTAGCCTAGGATTCAAAACAAAACAAATTTGTAATGCGATTTGCAGAGTGTCTAAATAATGATCGATGGCTAGGATTTCCAATTTACATTCCACCAAAATTGTTTTGATCCACATGCCACTTTAAGCTGTTGATTTTGCGTGCATCTGAGCATTACATCTCAAATCCAATGTTCGGTTTTAGACATTTTAGGTGTTGCAGATCAAGATGAAATTTGTGGCTTTTGTTTTGAAATGTCCTGTTTTTGGATTCGCATGAGTATTTACTTCTAAGTCCTCCTATTAAGGGCTAAACCTCTGTGCATGCATGCGGGTGGGCGTGCGTGCGTGTGCGGGTGGGCGTGCTTGCGAGTGTCACAGTGTGTGTGTGCGCGCGCGCGCGTGTATCTCCCTCTCTCTCTCTCTATATATATATATATGTGTGTGTGTGTGGGTGGGTGGGTGGGTGTGTTTGTGTGCACTGCAGGGATAAAATGATTCTTTGGATAATCAGTGCCATTCATCAATTTGGATAAGTATTGCTACCATAGGAAAAACGCTATTTAATTACTCCTATTTACTTGCCACCCTAATCATGAAGAATACAGAAAAGAAACTTTGAAATCTAGCACCAAAGACAGTTTTGCTCCATTTGAATCACCATATATTTCTAGACCTCAATTGCCAGTAGTGGATGCCTCTTTTCTTTCTACACTGAACTCTTTCCACTAAAACATGGTTTTATAAAGTGAATCTGGTCTTGTTCAAAAAAATATTGCTGGATTCTGACATGCATGCTTAATTTTGAGACTGGAATGGAGAGATTTGAAGTTTGCTGGGCAGAAATTAATTTTCTTTACATTGTTTTCCACTATCCCCACTTGTTAAATATTTTTGTCACGGATACATGTGAGAGATAATTTGTTTCTTCTACATATTTGTCTTTTGTTATGCTGCTGACGCTCACTGCCTATGTCAGAATCAAATAATTTTTCTGCTTTTATAAATTTGATATATAGTTAAAATGATATTTATGTCAATTGTCCTTGCTTGTATTTGCCTAAACATGAAAAAAGTTTATTTCTACCAAGTGGTGACTGTCTGTTGCTCAGCTCATCAATTTGATAGATCCCTTCTTTTATTGAAGGGCCAGTGCATATCATGACCTGCATGTGTCATTAATGCTGACAAAATGAGATAATTTTAATTTTTTGAGATAATTTATTTTTTATATAATTTAATTTTAGATATCAGATCCACTGTTATTCATAAGTCTATTTCATAAGTCTTTAAGTTCAATAATTTGACCTTCGCAGCTTATGGTTTAAACTAATTTCAACAATTTGTCCTATATACTTGTCGTGCATTCTCTTTTATGGACAAGAATTCTTGTTGTGCTGCTCCATTTGCTAGATTTGCATGTCCTGTACCCATCTAGTATATTCTCTCTGTTGTGGATGAGAATTATTGTTGTGCTATTTATCATTTACTAGCTTTGCATGCCTCTTCAGACTGACTTAAAGACGCATGAAAGAGAACAATGCAGTGTCATGCTAAACCTTTGCATCTGAGCATTCATTTTAAGTTTTGTGCAGGAGATAAAGGATCTGAAGGAAAAAGTAGCAAGTTCCTTCCTTGATCAAATCAAAGAGTTGCATGAAGATTTGGATGCAAAACAAAAAGAAATTGATGAATGCAACACATCTTTGAGTGAATTACGTCGCTCCATAGACGATCTCAAGGAAAGGCTTCAGTTGTCCAACCAATCACGTGCTGATGCCGATGAAATAATTCATAGGTAAATTGATGTTTGTTTACTTCTTTTGTAGTAACAGCTTCTATGTTCTTCTCGAAACAGGCTCCTTGTATGGGAACGGCATCTCCAGTTGATTTCTTGCTTTAGTTCTTGGGTAACACGTCTTTAGTCATGAATTTAAATTCAAATGGACCACCACCTTTCGCCGGTGGTCTCGTCCCTCTTGTAGAATTCAATCTGTTTAGAAATATCAAATACATGTTGAGCATCACAATTCACAAAGCTAAAATCTGTACAAAGTCTTGGGCTACACATGCCAACTTTCAAAAACTAATAAACATATTTCCTATTGGTGTTATGTGTACCAGTTTAATATTTCCTACATAAATTTGTTGATGCACTTTTTGGGGTTTTATATACCAGTTTAATTTATAGAATTTATTCTGTATTAAGAAGTATTGAAAGAATGACATGTTTGTCAGTTGCATTGATAACTGTTTACACATACCTTCCTGGCAAAATTTTGATTGTGTTCTTCATCTTCATAATAGTTTGCCAATATTTCCCCCCCTGTATCCTTATCATTGAGGAGTTTATTTTGTCTTATTTTTTATAATTGCAGTTATGTCTGATGATGTTTTCTTCAACCTAATCCTATAATATCGGGTTTCTTACTGGACTCCTATTATAACGTCAATTTTATTTTGTAGTCAGAAGACAACCATATCTGAGCTGGAGGCTCAGTTATGTGAAGAAAGACACTTAAGAAGAGGAGAGCGGGAAAAGGCAGAAGCAGTCCTAAAATCTGCATTACAGAGAGCTCATTCAGAAGCTCAAGAGGAAATCAAGCGTCAAACTGATGTTTTTTCAAGACAACATAAAGAACAACAAGAAGTTATTAATAAGCTTCAGGTCTTGGGATTGTTTCATCTTTTACCATTTTAGTTTCTTTTTATTTTTTGAAGGCATGCCAATTTGTAGTGTTAATAAACACTCGAATCTTTTTCTTTAACGTATGTACCTGAAACAGAATGATTTACTTTTCTGATGACTGCAGGAAGTTGAGAAAGAGAGCCGTTTGCTCGTAGAAACATTAAGATCCAAACTGGTATTCAACTTTGCACTATACACTGCTTTTTTTATTATATCACCATGTAATGTTCCATATTAGGAGTAGCACTATAATTTTACTAGAACTTTCCGCTTATTCAAGTGTTTCTTTTGAAGGAAGATGCGAGGGAAAATCTTTCTCTGTCTGAGAAAAAAGTTAGGCAACTGGAAGTCCAGGTTCAGGATGAGCAAGCAGCATTTGCTAATAGCCAAAGAGTATGACCAATTGCCTTCACCTTCTTGTATATTTCATTTGGCATCTGACTGAGAGTTAGGAAAACAAATTGAGCTAATGACATTCACTAAACCCAGTTAGAAATTCTTGAAGAAAAGAGGAAAATATGTAAAGCAATGAAGTTTTTTTTTTTCTCTCCATTTTTGGGCTTCAGTTATGATGTCTCCTGACTCCTATGCTATAGACAGAATTATGAGGGTTAGTTTCACAAAACCTCCTAAATTGTTTTTTATTTTTTTTGTTTTTGTTTTCTGGGTGGGTTTTTCATTTTTTTGGTGTGTGTGTGTGTGTGTGTGTGTGTGTGTGTGTGCTCAATAACCCCCCTGAACTTTGTTTATCTTACATAAATAATAACCCCCTGAACTCTGGGGTGTCTTCACAAATCCCTTGTGAACTTTAACCTTTTCTTACCACACCCCCACATGTAATTTGCAAATAAAATAAAATTTCTGTGAGAGAAAACATAAAATTTAGAGGAGGGGACAAGTTCCCTGTGAATGACAAAATTTGGGATTTTTTTCCTATCGAAAACATTTTAGTTATCTGCAAATTATATGTAGGGGTCCGGTGAGAAAAAGGTTACATTTTGCAAGAGCAAGGGGGTGCGGGGGGGAGGAGCGTTGCCAGGGGGTGTTGTTCTTGATTAGACTCCCTTAGCGTCAGGCGGGTTATGTGAGATAAGGAAAGTTGAGGGAAAACTCTCAAAAGTTCAGGGGAGTTTTGGTGAAATTAATCTCAGTAAATATAATTTTCAATAGACGATTTCAGTGGAATGCCTGAGACAAGTATATCTGTGATGTATTTCTCTTTAATCTAAGAATCATGTTTGTTTTCATTTGTTCAAACAGAGATCTGAAACTTTGGACGCCGAATTAAAAAGGTTGACAAAGGAACTTGAAAGTGAAAAGGTAGGGGAAAATGCTCTATTTGTTCTAATATTGTCATATTGACCTCAGTAATGTCATGCAGGTTTCATTTCTACTTTAATTTAAGAATCATGTTTGATTTTGTTTGTCTCTTGCTTCTTCCTTAAAATACTGTTGCTCTTCTTTCTTTTACATGCCCCATAACCTGTTGATCACACATGGTAATATTCTTTAATTTCATACTGTTAGTGATGGGATTCAGCTGGTGTCAACAACATTATTCTTGAATTAACTGCATTATATTATGCCAGGAATCATGTCTGTAGTTTAGACAAACTTTTTGTTAAATATAGTCAGACTTGGTGACATACTTTGCTTGAAAGAAATACTTTATTTCTATTAAATTATCCTATGTTACGTGTTCGTGTCTTGCGTGATTGTATTTCCTTTTATATAACCATTTATACAAAAAAATACACACATATTTATCTATCTTCACAGATTTTCTTTTTGAGAAGAAACACTTTGGTGTGGTTAGGAATGGACGCACAACTGTAGATTTACCTTGCAAGATATGAGGAGTCCCAACTCTCCAAATGAACTACAAACTTAGGCTAGGGGCTATTGTTAGTTTTTTAGTCCTGACTCCACCAACGATGTTTTAACCTCAGAGTTACCTCTCCCAGATATGGATTATGTGACTATATTCTCTGCCATTTTATAAGGACATTTTGTTACATAATGCATTTGCATTAGTAGTGCTACTTCTGCTGTATGTTTTTAGGTCAATGAATATCACATTTTTTTAATAAAGAAATTTCTGCTTCTCATATTTCTTGACCATTGTTTCTCTCACTTTCTGAACTTGGTATCTGCATGCAAATGTTCATGTATCCTTCAATAAAGATGTATCAGCGGACAAATGGCAGATACCCTTTGGGTATTCATTTCACGCCTCTAAACTCTAAAATCTATAGAATTGATCCCAGGCGTTTCTGGGATTCATCTGTGACCAAGAAGCAAGTAATTTATTGCACCAAAAATGAGTTCACAATTCCTTTCGCTTGTACATGAATTTATATAATTTATCTTCTGTTGCAATGAAAAATGTTATTATTCTTCTAATTATTTATTATATAATTAAATATGATTTTTTTACCTACTATAACATATTTTGTTGATAAACAACATTGAGTTGCTCGCAAATAATTTTATTGTTGTCATATCCAAGACATAGGAAACCCTGGATTTGTAGGTGTATCCACATAGATCATATAAATGTGTGCATGAGCTTCAACACTGATTGTTATAGCATAAAGGATATACGTGATAACTTTTACACGAAAGATATATGTTAGCCACATCCTTCATCTATTTCTTGTTGTGGCGGAACTAGGATTTCGGCAAGGGGGCTCCAAAAAATTAAGTAAACACAATAACATATAAGAAAAAATTGCACAATTGATTAGCACCTTGTCCCTTCATCTTTTACAACACATTAACAAAGAGGGGAACAAACCCTTAACAAAATAGAATAAAATCTCAAATATCAAATTCAGTTTATCAACAAACAAGAATACCAAACTCAAATTCAAGAGCCATATCATCTATTAAATGGAAACATCAAGTAGAAGCTATTACAAATAGGAAGCTACTTAACTATATACTGGATTTGAAAGAGGAACTATGAATATAATACATAATAAAAGAGAATAAACCTCAACCACAACTAGTATGAATGCAAGAAGAAAATTTATTTACTAAACTATCCTAACTATGGGAAATACATGAAAATAGATGAAACAAACACATTGTTTTTCCCATGGAAGAGAAAGCAGAGTGAAGGGGATTAGTAATCGGATGGGCTAATGGATCGGGTTAAGATAGTTTACTCACATGGAGCAAATAATGATATTTGGCCCATATGCAAAATAATCTCCCATCCAAAATACCCCATCATCTCGACAACGTTGGACTGGTGGAGGTATATCATTTGTTTTTAAATTCCTACCTGATTTACTTTATGAATGTTAATTTGGAACACCAGTCAGTTTCCTTGCATATAAGAATGCCATGCTTCTGTTTGCCATGTTTTGTCCATGTTTACGGTTGAATGGTGCATTATAGACACTTGAGGCATATACTTCGATGGGTATATCTGAGAATCCTGTATGCTGTTGTTAGCAGGTGGCACGGGAAGAGGCATGGGCCAAGGTGTCCTCTCTTGAACTGGAAATTTCTGCTGCAATTCGTGATCTTTCCATCGAAAAACAAAGGTTTCAAGGTGCAAGGGAAAGGATAATTTTAAGGTAAACGAAGAGCATCCCACGTTTGCAAGCTAATCTCTTTTATAACAACTACAGCAAAATATTCCATGCAGTGGTCTGTAAACATCAGAAAATGGAATTTATTTTTTTAATCTAACTACACAAGCAGATCATAGGAAGTTTCATTTTGGAAGCAAGAAAGGTCTTAGGTTCAGACACTTATTTTGTTTTCCTTATTCTCGTCTCATAATGTCCTTGAATTTGAACCAGTGAATTCCTATTTGTGAGCAAATTAATACTGTCTTCTTAAAGAATATTATTATCAGAAAAAAGGTCCTCCTGTCCAAATGAAGGTGCTTATGGCCCACAACTGTGAGTTATAAAGGCTCTGTGGAAGGACTTGGATTGAAACTTGAAGGTATATCGGGAATGTGAGGCAACAGTATGAAAGGAAATTGTGCGTGAAATAAGTTCAGAAGGTTATCTAGCAGGTAGCATTACCTTCCCTGTAGATGAGGATGGCATATCATTAACTAGCAACACTCACTCGCTTCATGCACATAACCTATTGCTAACATAGTTTGATTTAGGTCTAGCAGTTGGAGATGAGCACACCCCTTTTTATATGGGTTGGTTGGTTTGACCCGGAAGAGATAGGTTCATAAGTTGGGTAAATATCTGCAGTGGACTATGTAAGGCATGGAGGAACCATCTCCTAAGTTGCCCATGACCAACTGAACTGTGGAAGTCAAAATGGAAGGAGCTAACTGTCAGACAGGGTTCCACGTGTATTTTGGTCAGTGGCCTGAAGAGGTGAAGTTAATCTTAATTTATTGTGGAATTCTGGGAGGATGAGTAACAGAAGGTTTCTTTTACTTGTCATTCTTATAGTAATACATAAAAAAGGTCAAGGTGCGGATCATTTTATGTTTATGATAAATAACTTGTTGATTTAGTAAATGCTAACGCCAATCATTTAAGATAGCTAATGACATTGTTTAAAGAAAGTTTCTCTTACTTCATGCATGGACGAACTTCAAATGTAACTATCTTCCTATATATATTTTTTGTTTTGGTCAGTATTTTTTTATATCTATCATTTTTTGTTTTGGTCAGTATCTTCCTATATCTATCAAGTTCTTGATTCAAGCTGAATACTTTCTACTAATCATTAGAGGCTGCATGTTTGTAAGCTGAATGAGGTGGGATGACTTCTGAAGCTGTGTACAGATAGTCTATCCAATGCTTCCTTTTTTATGCAAATAGTTTTATCTGTAATGTCCTTGCTCATGAAGAAGAACATATCCCACATAGATCATTTATCATACAATCTTTCCACAAAGCAGATTGACTACGTTGCACAACTAAGGTGACAAAATTCCTCATAATATTATGTCAACCCTCAGATCAGTGTAATTCCTGCTCCAGGAAGTTGTATGCCATTTCAGAAGATCTTTAAGTACTATCCCCACCGGCACATGAATTTTGCTCTTCAACTTCACACTTTTACCTGTCAATGGGTGGTAAATCTGAAGTACCCATAAAATACATCATCGTGTCTGATACACCTTGACATTCAGAAGAATCCTTTAGTCCAAATTCACAAGTTCTTTTATGTGCATACTGTGGAGAAAATTTCATCTGAAAGTGGAACTAGATTTTTTATCTATATCAGAAGGCAAAGGAGTGAAACATTAGGCACTTTTTATTCTTGTTTCTCATTCCTCTAGTTATTTGCTACGCATCTGCCAAACCAAGTGGGGTAAGAAGTTTGTACTCGCACCTTCCATAATTTGATATGGGGAATTCATTTTCAAAAAAATAAAAAAATAATAAAAAAAGCATACAAGGTCGAGATAAATTGGGGTATTACGCCTTCTTCTTTCTTTTTTTCATTCTTAAAAAAAAAAATTCCCCATGAGGGTATGAAGAATGGATTTACATGGGACATCTTGTTGATTTGCCCTGACGTGCAGAGAATATTTGGTTGAACCTAGCCTTCAACGTTCCAATTTAGCTTTGTATCTGAATGTAGGTTACAGTGCAGCCATTAACCTTCTCCCCTCACTTTATATGCAGGGAAACTCAATTGCGTGCTTTTTATTCCACAACCGAGGCGATCTCTGCATTGTTTGCAAAGCAGCAAGAACAGTTGAAGGCCATGCAGAAAACTTTAGAGGATGAAGAGAACTATGCCAATACACTAGTTGGACTTGATTTGAATGAATCAGTGACTTGTGCCGTAAATGCTGCCCGCCTCAAGCTTAGAGATGAAACTCAGCCGGAAAACAACACCAAGGAAGCTTCTGGGACCTCTACTCCGAAGAATAATCACACTTCCAGAGAGAGCTCGGATGATGGTAGCACAACTGAGAAGCATGATTGTAATCTAGATGAGAATACTCAAGATTTAGAATGCACAAGCTCTGATAGGTTGGCTAATAAAGGATTTGTCTCTGATGGTAATGGCATTGGAACCGCAGTGGTTGGTGAGGGGGATCCTAATGACACTGAGAGAGTTTTAGGAACTGAAAGCCAATCTGATGAAAGAACAGCTGTTCTTCATAAATGCACTATTAAGGGATTTGTCTCTGATGTTGATGGAGTGGGAACAACAGTTGTTAATGAGGAAGACCCTATCGATACTGAGAGAGTTCTAGGTACTGAAAGCCAAGATGCTGGATTTGATGAAAGAACAGGTGTTCTTCATAAATGCAGTAATTTGGCAGGAGATACTATGCAGATTGATGATGAAGTGCAAATTCAAGAGAACTTGGAGGTTAACACTGAAGATAGAGTTGATCCAATAAGAACTGCTGATCTCTTGACCTCGGAAGTTGCAGGAAGCTGGGCGGTGAGCACGGCTCCATCAGTAAATGGAGAGAATGAGACTCAAGATGTTGATGCTGCTGCGGCTCTTCTTCTATGCTCAGACGGTCAGGCTTCAGGAAGCCAGAGCAATGTTTCAGGTAGTAAACTGAGCAAGGAACACAAGGCTCTGAATGCTATGCTTGAAATTGTGGCGCCAGAGTTTGGACAGAGATTTGTGAGTGGTGATGATGATGGGAAGAGAAATGAGTCCTTGTCTGATGCTGAAACAGAGAAGGGCAGTGACAATAATGATGATGATGGTCATAGTGATGGTGGTGGCGGCGGCGGCAATGATGATGACGATGATGAGACTGACGGTGATTCAGCGGAAGGTGACAATGAGGTGATGATTGAAGATTCTGAAGATTCTGTTGGCTGAGTGTGTTGGATGTAATTTTGGTTAAGCAGGTCCTACTTGTGTAAATGTAGATTGCCCCTTGTATATTTATTATTTAGGACTGTGTAAAATGTATATCTTAGGAGTCGAAGGGTCAGATGGTTACTGCCAGATTGGCCCTCACCTGTAAATTGATAAGTTAGAGATGCGAGTCCGTTTTTGTTGCCCATGCATCTTGTGCTACTCTGTAGTTTCTTTTTCCCGGCCAACAAGCAAGAACTTCACAGTGGATACAAGGAAATTGGCAAGTAGCGGTGTAAGAAAATTCATGCTGCGGCAGAGCGCCGCCCCCACCCCACCCCAAAACACCAACCACCCAAAAAAAAAAAAAAGGAATTGGCAAGCAGCATTGTAAGAAAGTTAATGCTACAGTAGAGGTTTTCTCAGTTAGATGCAAACATTTCATGTCGTTTCATTTCTATCATGTGAATAGGTATTTTTAGAGAGAGCTTCATTCTCATTTGTTTATATTTATGACTACGAAGATTGATGCAAAATATTTGATCTACACGCATGCAATCCACTTAAACCTCAAATTCAAAGCCGCACGAGTTCCTTCACTTGTCAGATGGAAAAGTCCGCTCCAGATCAAATATTCTTATTCATCAAAAACTTGTCCATCTCAGTGCAACTTTTGAGGTCCTGTGGTCTGCTGTCTCCTTTCCTTTTGGGAGAGCCGACAACATAAGATTCTGACGGGGGTATAAGTGCAAGCGCAGACCCTACCCAATTTTCAAATTAAAAATAATTTAGATTAGACTATCAATAACCTATCACCCCACCTTTCTCCTTATTTTCTCAAATAATGCGAGGTTAAGTTTCCTTCCAGTAATTTGTATATGTTTATATAAGCTCGAGTGCTATCAAAATTCAAAATAAGCTTTTGCATTCATCAATATCTTGTTTAATCAACTAACACAAGTAACATCTTGTTTAATCAACTAACACAACTATTTTCTTCTTGAGATGACATTCAGAATAATACTTGAAGATAACTAAGAATGGTTGTGATCGATGTCGCAAGTACATGTTTTTCACATATTTGTCATAGTAGTCCCTTCTGGTATTGCTATACTGAAACTGCAAGAAATATTTTCCTCAGGATGATTGCCACTCTGAGCGAAAAAGAAATAATATTAATAACCACAGATGAAGCAAACTATAGTGTTGTGCTGGGCAAAGAAGGCAATATCACAGTCTGGTTATGTGCTAACTTTGGCTAAACTTATACACACACATACATACATACGTACGTACCTACCTTGATGCGTACATCATCGGATCTTATGCTACCTTGAGGCCAGTCACAAAAATTTCACAAAATATAATCACTCTTGAGTAACTGACTTCTTAACCTAGAAATAATAAATAAAAGGACTTCGCAGGGGGAACAAGCCACCAGAGACATTCCTCAGATTGAACGAAGCATAGGCAAAATAGATTCATTTGTAAATTTGTAACCATCTTTTGCAAATTACAACTACAATTACAATTATAGTTTGCAACCAACAAAACAATCTAAAATGACTTAACCATCTATATTAGTTGGAGTACGCAGTAAAAATAAAAGGATGCTCGACCTCACATTTGGATTAATAAATGATATCCCCAATACCCAACTTTTAAATTTTTTTTTGCCATAGATCATTCCTAAAGATATGCCAAATATAGTAAGTCCCATATACATGACTAACCATCTACCAAAATAAACTCGCTATCATCAATGACCCGTACATCTTTCTCTCCAACAAAATACTTTCTCCCAATACTCTTCACAATCAAAGCAAACTCATTTCTCTTTTCGATAGGAAGAGGTTGATAAGGCAACCTGAAAACAGGCCTCACAACTCCCAGCTGAGCCAAGGCAGTGTTCAACCCTATCGGATTCGGTTCCTCGAAAAGCCATTTAAACAACGGCCTCAATCTAGAATCCAATTCCTCACTAAAACCTCCAAACATAAGCTCATGCATCAAACCAGGAACGAGATTACTAGCAACTGATATAACTCCCTTAGCTCCATTAACCCATCTGCTATAATGGCTCTCATCGTCATTACCACTCCATACAATCAGTCCTTTGTTTGTGTACTCTTTGATTCGATCAAGTCCAGCACATTCTTTAATACCAGCGAAATTAGGATGACTTAGGAATTCGTCTATAACCGATGGAGGTATATCTTGCCCAGTTCTTGAAGGTACATTATAGATGATGGTTGGGCCCATAGAGAGAACAGACCGAAAATGTGTGATTAAACCTTCATAGGATGTTTTCCCGTAGTAAGGGTTTATGTGCAAAGATGCGTGCATACCTACAGCGAAACCTTGCTCTGTTGCGTGTTTTGCTTCTTTTGTACTGTTGCTTCCAGTGTTTCCGATGACTTTGATTGATGTACCAAAGCAATTTACAGTGTGGCCGATGAGCATGATGTGCTCGTCCCAACTCATTAGGTGGCCTTCACCAGTTGTTCCTCCCACAATTACACCTTCGACGCCATTTTCAATTTGAGTGTGGATGAGGGAGTCGTAAGCTTGGAGATCGAATCTACCATCAGGTAAATATGGGGTTTTGATGGCGGTGATTAGTCTGAGCTTTTGTATGTCAGAGGTTACTGTCCTGTAATGGAAAAATACCCAGAGAGGTGTTAGCAGAAGAAATTTAGCACATTGAGAAATGAGAGATAGATGCTCAAACCCAAGAATGAAAAAGGAAATTTCAAGGAAATTATACAGAGTATTAAGAAATTATAGGATCAAGATGAATTTCCAATATATATTAGTATTAGTATTCTGTTGCAAGCGTGTGTATGACATGGAACCTAGGGGAGTGTTGCAATGGACTTGGTAAGGGAACGAACAATTACTTGG